GACTTAAGGCAATCGATATTCCAAGCAACCCCCGTTTCTAAACAAGAATAAACAAAAGCTTTACCAAGCTTTCAAATACTAACACAAGGAGTTTCGATTTACAACCACAATAATCAAAATCAGTCTAACCCTAAAAAGAACCCTAAGACACCTATTTATAGTATTAGGCATTATTACATAGATGGGCCCACAAGTGACATGAAATGGGCGAGCTAAGTCAGGCTCGCCCAATCCTCTTGGTGAGTCGCCGATCAGTCGGTGATGTGCACTGCTCCCTTTGCTTCTCCCTTGACGACTACTATAACTTTCGGCGGTATGGGGTCAATGGGCGATGCGTCGAATGTCCTCCATGCTCGCTGAATGGGCAGCCTTCTCTTGCAGCTCATTGGATCAGTTGGCGATCTTGGAACCCTCGCCAAAGGGCTTTGGTGAGTCACCGAAGTGTCCTTTAGCTCTCCGAATGGAGCACATTCTTCACTTGCTCCTCCTCGCTTTGTTAGGCCTCCCACGCTCCAAGCTATCATCCAAGCATGGTGTTGCCCAACTTGGAGCTCCTTCAAGGTGCATATGTTCCCATGCAAGGCATGGAACTACCTCCTTGGCATCCATACATGCCAAACAACCTCCATCCTTGTGAACACTCCATCAAAGCATTGAAGTTCGTGAATGGATAGGCTTGATGTAATCCATTTTACATCAAGCTTACTACCCCCTTGCGCCATGCTACCCTAAGAATAGGCAGGTTTAGCTCTAAAATTCTGACTATTGTACTCACCTTTGTTCTTAGGTGCAGGTGCACTAGAGGATGATTGAGCAGGTCCATTCTGTTTCTGTTGGAAGGATGATCGGTTGGCATTACTCTTCTGCTACCCGGACTCGTTCCCTGTCTTAGCTCTCTTGTTCTTAAACTCTTCTCTATCCCTTAGCTTCTCTTCCTCAACCTGTAACACATATACTATTAACCTCGATATAACCATGTCCCCAATTAGCATCATTTCCCTGCCCTCTTTGCTTGATAAACGGGACAACACAACAACAAACAGAATCATTCTACTCCTCATATCCGCAACCATCTCTGGAGCATAACGGGATAGTTAGGTAAATTTCAACCCATACTCATGAACACTCAAAGAATCTTGCTTAAGTGTGAGGAAATCTCGTACCTTAGCCTCTCTCAGTTCTCGGGGAAAGAAACACCCCAAGTGTAACGACCCAAAAAATTAGTAAGACCAAACTAGAGTCTAATGGAAACTAATAGGTGAAACTAGAGCGTAACGTGGGAGATTTTGAGTTTGGTGTTTGGTTTTTGTTTGTATATTGACTTACCGTGCTTAGAATGAGGGGTTTAATGGTTGAACGTCAAGGCACGTCTTACATCCCGTACCCTTATAGGCTAACCTAGGTCTTGGTATATTAGGTTGACAGACCTAGGAAGCGGGCAAGGGCCTAAACTATAAAGGAAGGGTGAAGGAGAACGTGATTCTCTTTTGATATGTTGGTGATTGGCAGCATGGTCGCCCAAGCCACTTGGCGATGCGCCAAACTGTACTTGGGTGGCCTAGTGGGCTGTCCCTCCTAGCCTAGGTACTGGAACAAAGGGTGAACTAAGCCTTAGCTCGCCAACCATCTTGACGAGTCACCCATTGGTCCCTCAAGATCGCCTAATGAGCTGCCCATTTTTGGAGCTCACTGGAAATTTGGGTGAGCCAAGGATTCCCTTGGCGAGTAGCCTTGTGCCCTTGTCGAGCCAAGAGGGTCCATTGGGCGAGAAAGGTCGTGGAAGGGGTTAAGGGGTGGAAATCTAGGCTACTGGTCAAGGGCCAAGGGCATCACAACGGTCCGTGAATCCCCACACGGACCGTGAAGTCATCCGTGAAGGGTTTTCATTTGACTTAGAGTGTAGGGTCAACTTCAAATGATGATATCTGTTAGATTAAAACGAATTAGGTGGTCCACTACCTATCTTATTAAATGTCTCTGAGTCCTCTTTCCAACGCCACTGAGTTTGCCCAATTACGATCTCGGAGTAAAATGTTATGCCCGAAATAGTGAAGAATTGTCAAGCTGGAAAAATGGTCTAGCCAAGGGCCATTAGGCGAGTCACCTAGTGCCCTTGGCGAGCCAAGGAGTGCCAAAGGGAGAGTTTCAGCGTGAATTAGGAAGTTTTTAAAGTATAAGTTTAAGTTTTTAAGTAGTCCTTCCAAATCTTGAACTTCACTCAACTTGAACTTTAAGTCTTAAAATAAAGTTAAAACATTTGGAAAAGGCTTTTGGAAAACTCTAAGAATTTCTCTTGACTTGCTTCTTATCTTCTAGGCTTGACTCTTAACTTTCCTTGAAATGAATTATGGATTCAAGGATTGTGATTTGTTATAGGAAAGATCTCATGATGTTTAGGAGTGTTTTTAGATAGCTAAACATGATAAAATATCAAGAAATCACTATCTGAAAGCTGGTCCGCGACGCGGAGATGTATTTAAATATTTGGTCGCGAAATCAAATTTTTCCCAAATTTGGGGAGCAGGTCCGCGACGCGGAGCAAGTGCCCAGATTTGCCCAACTAATTTTCTTCTTCGTTTTCCAGCCCCAATTCGCCTAAATTCGATTCTTATTCTCAAATCCTCTTTAGATTCAGATACCAGCAAATGTACCAAAAACCCAACTCAAAACAACTCCGAAATCGACCTTAAACTCTCAAGAATTCCTCTTATCATCCCAAATTTAAGAACGAAAGTAAATTCAAGAACACACATCAAGAACATTCAAACTTTCAATCTTTAAGATGAATTCACGCTGAATTAAACATGTTTGGCGCGTGGGTGAACGAACCCAATGTTGTGTGAACTCACATACCTTGTAGAGATCACCCCCGATGAAATTAACAAGCTAAACTCGACGATCTTGACGAATCTTGCTTCTCTTCTCCTTTCTCCTCTTCTTTTCTGTTTTCTCCAAGCCCTAGCGTATTTTGGTAAAAGCATAAACTGATATTATTCTGATTTGACCCTAACTTAATTACCAAAAATGAAATAAAATAATTGAGCAAGGAAAAGACCAAACTACCCCTTTAAAATCCGGATTGGACTTTCTTTATTCCAACAACCCAGCTTCCAAAAAACATAACTCACTCATACGAACTTGGAATCGTGCAAACTCAGTGGCGTTGGAAAGACCAATCGAAGATATTTCATACCATATCTGGAAATACCTCTAACACATCATGAGTTAAAAGTTATGACCATTTGAAGTCGGCCAAAACTCAACTTATTCTAACTTAATTTTTTTTCCAGATTTTCACTCTTCCCAAAAATGATTATTTTCAATTATTAGCTTCTTCCTAGTTATTTCAAATTGCGAGATGTTACAAACTTAATTTTTTTTCCAGATTTTCACTCTTCCCAAAAATGATTATTTTCAATTATTAGCTTCTTCCTAGTTATTTCAATTTGCGAGATGTTACATGAACGATTCGGCAATGCAGTGCATGTCTAGGAAAGTAGTTGAAAGGAACAAATAGATTCAAGTAGAAAGGAAAGACGATTAATTGAATAATAAACTTATATACACGAGCTGGTTATTGCACTAACCATATTTTCATTGAGTGTAATTGTTTGTATAAAGTTAAATAAGAACTCGAGTTAACCTCTTTAAGAGGATGAGAGATCAAATAAGTAACTACTAAAATAGTGAATGAAGTCTGGGGTATTGTGAGTAATATTATCCTTAGAATTGAAGTGAATTCTTTCTACATGTGATTGGATTCCTATATAGGGCTTGTAAAAGCATAAAGGTAATCTCTTAATGCTCACAAATCGCATGAATTATTTGTCGTATGAATTGTGTGTCTGATTAATATTGTGTTAGCTTGGGTTTGCCCACCATGTGCAAAGTGGGAGATGTAAGTTTTGGGTCGGCTGTCGCCCATTTGAATCGACCTGACCCTATTGGTTTTTACCCTATCCAATATAATTAATTAATTAAATTGGATAATCCTTTTAAAAGGATAGAAGAGAACAGTTATATTAATAATTCAACATCCCCTTATAATGCTCCTAGTGGGAGTAACTTTAAGAGATGTATGAAGAAAAAAAAGACAGAAACAGAAGAACGTTGAAACTCGGTGAAAAGAAAAACAGAGAAAATCAGAAGTCATCTTTTTGCCAATATTAAATCGACACATACACAAACACTTAGTTTGTGAAAAAGAATAATCTTCGTTTCCTTGTGATTCAAAGAGAGATCTGGAGAAATTCGTTTCGACAACAAAATCAACAACAAATAATTCTGCTGCAAGTATTAAGGTACACATGTTGTTGTTGTTTTTCCATTAAAATTCCTTCACTTTAGTATATTTTATGTTTCGTCTAATTTATCAGCATATGATTTGTAATTGTAAGTTTCCGCATAACACCCTAATCACTTTCAAACCTAACACTTATAACTATATTCTTTAATCCTTGAAAGGACTTGATCAAAAAAGTGTAATGTCCATAAAGCAATCATAAGAATTACACTGCCTGAGTTACTGTTTGGCACTTGACAACATTCAAAGCCAGTGCTAGTAATACTACAAAACAATGTGCTTTTTTTCTGCATTGACTCCTTCCTTTATGAGAGGCAGATGCAGCCCTGTTTACCTCAAACATAAAATAGATTCAACTATGAAAACTAACGGTTTCAATGATTCTTGGAAATGTGATAATTGAATCAATATAACTAATATTAGAGCAATCAAACAATAAACAGAAACACTATACATTGTGGCCCACCTGAAACACAAAGTATGTTGTAGTATCACTATTAGTATAAGTGTTAAATTTCTCCTGTAAAGAGAAGATTATATTACAGGATCTAGAGCATGAAAAGAGGTTCCTCGATTATAATACTGCAACTACATTATCTTCCTAGCACAAACAAAAACTCCTTACTATACAAAAATTATCTTATCAAAACAATTAACAATATAAGAGAGGAAAGAAACAGGAAAATTTTGATGAACCTTAATCACAACAAATTGGACATCGTATAAGTCCGTTCTCATTACAATCCGGGCATCTTTGGAAGCCATATTCATTTTCCTCAAGTTCTAATTCGCCGTACTCTACTTCACAGTAGATTTTACAACTCCCCGAGCATGTCTCACATGGCACAAACCTAATATCTCCACAGGCCTCACAAACGCCATTTTCAATAACACTACCACCACCATCCTCTTGTCGTTCACAATTTTCTACTAACTTCTCAAGCTTCCCATCCTCGTTCATTTTTCGTATTTCATCAGCCCCACCAGTGTACTTTTTCCCCAAGAATACCCTTGGTAATCCTCCTCGAGCATTTTCCTTTCCCAATAATTCTTTCAATTCCTCCTTGAATCCTGAATGCATTGAAATATCTCTCTCGTCAACCTTAACGCCTAGTCCCTTCAGAATCACACGAACGTGACAACAATCCTCATATGTTTTCCTTACCCCTCTTAGACTTGTAAAGTAAATAACCAATTTGTCCTTCTCATGATGCACTAATTTATACTCTGTTGTTACTGACTCAGACTCATCATCTAATCCCTTTGTGTCTTGGTTGACTAATGGCTTTAGGTAAAAAGGATTAGCTGGTGGAAGCTCTTCAAGTGCTTTTCGGAATTTATTAATCACTTCAGGATCAAAATCAGACACTATAGATGTGCCATTCGAATGTAAACTAGATTCATTATCAGCCATATTTGGCAAGTTTTCATTAGGAGAAATAGGGAAAGAGAAAGTATGTTGATGATGATGGTCAGAAGGTTTAAGAGGTGTAATATCTTCAAGACCTTCCACTAATTCCCATGCATTAATAGTTTCTGGCTCACCTGGTGGTGTCCTAACTTGTGTCATAGGAACTACAACAACTTTAGGGATTTTGTGGTTAATCAGTTGTGACCATGTTCTTGCCTCAATCAACAACCCATCTTTTTCAGCATTGTAGTCATCGATTTCGAATGCAAAGTGATCATTTCTGAGACTTTGACTCAGGTTCATTGAGTCAAGTTTCAATGATCCTAATGTAGAGGATGTGAGATTCACCCTATGTTGTTGTTCACTTTCATCATTAATCCCTTTCTTTTTGGGTATGTACATTGAGTAACTTCTGCGTACAGGAGAATATGGGGTGTGGCAATTTTGGCATACTTTTGGCTTCGATGTTGCACAACCCATATTGATTTAATTTGATGGATCAAATTGGGAATTTATGCGTTGTTATATTTATAATGAAAAAATCACAAAGGCGAAATAGGAAGCTTTTGTTTTGTGGGAAAAACGTACCAAAATCTGCATTAATGGATCTGTTTACAAAAGTAAAAGGTTTATCATAATTGAGGAGACGACAAGAATGTGAACAAGAAGATATTATGTGAATTAATAGCTTAAAACAAAAGAAAATTAGAGTTTGAGGTTGATGGAGAAATTCTAGGGAGAGAGAAGGAACAAGGATAAGAAAAACACGAGCAACTAATTATCTGTCATTGTTTTTTCCTTCCTTGAACTCATTTTTCTCTCTCCGCAACATAATTGGCGGGGTTTCCCTTTCCTGTGTAAGAAAAGATGGGAAATGGACAAAACATAAAAGACCCTATCACTAGCAACAATGGGAATGAGTGGTAAAAATGAAATCAACATTTTTTCACTCAACTTAGAGAGTTAGAACGAGGAGAAATGGATGGATGAAAAAGGTCACTAGAATCAGGGTACACAACCAAATTTTGTATTTGAATTGATTTCTCGGAGGCTACTCTATCTTTTTTATACATATATGAAAGATAACATATTTCCCATTTGGAATATTTATAATTACCATACAAGTCCATAAAATCTTTATTACATGGAGATCAAATAAATTGAAAAGAGGTCCAAATCATCCTACATCTGAGAGATACTCTACTAACAACCTTCGAGAGAAAAATTAAGGGAGAAACAAAATTATAGCATATTATTTATCAATAAAATATTCTTATTTTTAAATATTTTGTTTGTAATTTATGTTTATTTTCCATACATTATAATTTATTGCAAAATAATCACTATTTATGAGTTCCGAATCAAAATGAAAAGATCCAAACTTAATGTCTATAAAAAAAAGAGAGACATGCTAATGGACGTTTGGTTAGTTTTAACCCTTAGCGCATGAATTTCATGAGCTAAGCTATAACTAAAATAGTTTTTTTCTTAACAAAAAAATAATAATTCGATTCTTCTGTTATAAAAAAGAAAGAAAAGAAGAGACATCGCTTTGTTTATGCTTCAATTAATGGATTACATATTGGATATTGCATTCATATCTAGTATGATTTATACAAGAAGCGTGGTATATGCAAATATTCCCAACAAATTACATCATATAGTGAAAAAAAAAAATTGTCTCCAAAAGATGTCTCACATTATAAACTACCAAGGGCTTATATTTATTTATTTTGAATTATATACATAACGTTAATATTTATTTTCTTCATCCAAATTTAAGTGACACTGTTTGACTTAACATAATGTTACAGAACAAAAAAAAACTTTTCAAATATGTGATTTAAGAAAAAATTGATACGTTTATGTGGCTATGAAGGTTCATTTTATTATGGGCAAAAGAAGAATTTTAAAGTTAAATTACTTTTAACTATGGAAATATAACATTCTATTTTAGACCGATAAGGCCTCATTGATTTTCATTAAGATTAAGACGTTTGAATCTAAATTCACATCTGAATGATTAAGAGATTCACTGTAGATTTGAACACTAAATTATTATGACGGTTTGTTTTTAAACATTTAATTTATATATATATATATATATATATAATTTTTTAATATGTAAACTCAATAAATATTATAATTCAAATATAACAATAGTTAAATATTACATTAACAAATTATTAGAAAAACCATTATTTTTTTAATAAACATTCCGATATTTGGATTTATAAATAAAGAGAAAGAATATCACATAAATTAAGTCAGAGATGATATAAAAAAACACATTTGAAACATATAAAATATAGTAATGAACGTAGAGATGATGTTTTCTAACTATAAGTGATATAAAGTAACTGCTCATTATCAAACACACGGAGCAGGAGGAAGAAATAATATGAACTAACAGTTGATTATTACACTAAAGCTGCTTTTGGCTCAAAGTTTAAATAATTGGAGGCAGCACAAGAAAAAGAAGCCACTTTTTGGAGGAAAGAGAAATGAATTTACAAGTGACTTCAATATCAAAATTAATGACAAGTCATTGATCCAAAAATGAGCAGTGTTATTTCTATTCTCACCGTTTTGCTATTATGTGTATGGATTTATTGATCTTTGTCACTACTTATATATTTTTACTATACGTGTGATGGTGATAAACCATCTAACAACTAAAGACTCCCTCCATTTAAAAAAGAATGACCTAACTTAGAACGGTGTTGAAGAAAAGAAAGAAGACTATTAATCTTATGGTTCTAAATTAAAGTTATGACAAATATACAAAAATACCCTTTAATCTTGTGGCCTTAAACATGTCACGTGGAAAGTTGAAGTTAAAATGTTGCCAAAAAAAGGAAGGAATGATTCTTTTCGGAACAGTCTAAAACTGAAATTATGCCAATCCTTTTTAAACAGAGGAAGTAAAATATATGGTAATTATTTGTGTTCCTGTGGGAACATTTGATAATTATAGCTAGTACTAAGCAGCTAAATAAATTATTAAATGCAAATCATAGCCATTTGGATCTTGTTAGAGTAGACATAATTATAAGCGATAGTACAAAGATCACATGAAACTATAGTTTCACGGGATTAGGATTAACGATAAAATAGAAGTGCAAAAACAGAAAACAAGAAACGATTTTTGGGAGAAATTTCCATTTTCTTTTCTCTTATTCAATATTTGTAATATCACATCCTTATATAGAATTCATAGACATCCTAGGGCTTCCCATTTCCCTGTCCAAATAGGAGTACAATAATTCATTTCCCTAATTAAATTACAATTACATAATTATCATAAATACAATTTTTCATATTTACCTTATTACCCCTCTCAAGTTGGAGCATGACGATCCCAAATGCCCAACATGCAAAGTAGATGTTCATAAAGCGATCCTATTAAGTGTGATACATAGAGGATGCAAAACACAATTTATAACACACGATAGATGGTGTGATGCAACGTATATAACACGTGATAGATGGTGCGACACACCATATATAACATCGAATTTCTGTGATAAATGGGGAAACACACTATCTGTAACATAGAATCTTGATTTAAAGTTGGGGAGAATGTTCATAGCCTCCAAATGGACAGATAAATGGTAGCTTCAAATTAGCCATGAGTTGCCTAAAAGGATTTTCAGGTTGCACCTTCTTTGGAAGTGCGAAATCCCTCTGCAGAAGCGCATAATGCGGGTTGAAAAACAAATCATTGATGCTCATACTTCTCATAACTGGGTTGAACCAATGCTCGTATACCTACCTTTGACTCGCTGATCAAGAACAAATGTATTTATCTCATGTACGTCCTTTTTAACTATCTTTGGTACAAATTTATCACGCGCCATGAGGACATAACTTGATTTACGTTTGGAGGTTGTGTGTGATTTAAAATAGCTTTTGTGAATAGTAGATAATTGAATAACTTGGGTTTTATTTTGTGTGTCGAATCACATTGTCATTTTATTATGATAGATTGAGAGATGAATTTCATAAGGAAAAATATCAAATTTTAGTCTTATTTTAAGTCTGTTTCATACTTCTTACAAACGAGACCATCAAAAAATTATTGGCAAAAGGTGACTAAAACTTTTTGAAAATGGAGGGAAAGAGTGAATTCAAAAGCAATATCTTGTCATGATTCGTACATTTTTCGTTTGACTTTGCGATTGACAAATGGATGTTGAGAAACCTATTATAGTTTGTCAAAAGTCATTCAGTTCAATTATTTTTTTGTAAAACCACGTAAATTAGTAGACTATACTAGAGCCTTATGTTGGGGTTCTAGAATTTGATATGAGGGTTAGAGTTGTAGAAAAGACATTTCGTGAATGAGGGGTTTAGAGGTTAAACGTCAACGCACGTGTTATACCCCGTAGTTTAGAAGACCATCTAGGGTTTCATTGAGGGTTACAAGGGTAAGTGCCAAGGCAAAAGGGCCAAGCCTAAGCAGAAGGCCAAGGCTGCCCCAACCTTGGCAAAGACTGCCCAAGTTCACGACCATCACCACGACCAGTGGTCTTGACCACGGTTCGTGGGAGGCCTCGTGAAGGTCCCTTAGCATTGTGGGAGGCAAGACCTTGGGGCAAGGCCACTGGACCATGGACCAAGTGGTCTAGCTACTGGTCCAAGGACCACGAGCAGGACCACGATCAGTGGTGAGGACCACGCCCCGTGGTGCCTCTCGTGAAGCCTGGATAGTAGGCTGCCAAGTGGAGGAGCTTTTAGGAAATTCCAAAGTAGGTAGTTATTGGATGGGGTCGTTTTGCCTAGTCTTAAAACGGCTATATAAGATATTTTAACCCTTTAACCACCCAATTAAGTCACTATTTCATAAGACCAAAATAAAATCCCCAAAATACTCTCCTCTCAAATATTTATCTCTCTAGAAAACTCAAGACTTGAAGAAGAAGATAGAGCCTAAAGCTTAAGTCAAGAACAAGACTCCATTGTTGCAAGATTTTGTAAGGGCTTTGATTCAAGGTATGTTAGGTTATTCATCTATGGATTCTTCCATCAATAGAGCCCCCTAGATTTCCCCCAATTGTAAAGATAAAACCCAATTCTAGCTAGGGTTTCTTCCTATGTTGTGGGTATTGTTGGGTATGATTCTAATTGAGTGGATAATACTTATTTATGATTGATTTAGCATTGAATGATGATAATATGGTGAATTTATATGTTTTCCATGGTTAACCCTAGTATTATTCATGAAATTGATACTATGTGGGTTTATGCCATGAAAGGTGAAAGTGAAGACTTAGAGATGATATTCTAGATTTGATGTTATTAGTAGTAATTGTTCAATAATAGAAAAATATAGACATGAATTGAATTAGATTATGGTGCATATGATAGATCATGACTAGTAAAATTGAAAATGAACCTTTATGATGAATTATGAGTAGAATCACCTATTAATGAAGCATATCATTAGAATGCCTTGAAATCTAGGTATGAATGATGAT